TAAGACTTTTTCAAATGAGTCCTGCTGATTATTGTCACAACGTTAGACCATATAAGCAATTACTCCCAAAAAATTTACAAGAAGACCTCTTGTGTTACTACCTTGCTAACGATCAACCAAAATCGGCCATAATTCTCCCCCCGAGGGTGTCACCTATCAAAATTGATTCAACCATTATTGGACCACAGCATACGGCCCTTATCGCGAGGTGGTTAGACAATGAACCCATTGTTAAGCAAGGAATTCAATACAACTTTACACTCCTTTTCCGAGCAAGCCGAGATGGATATTCTATTAAAGCGTTAAGACAACAATGTGCGTGCAAAGGGCCCGTGATTTTAGTTTTGAGAGTTGAATCTGGACAATTAATAGGTGGATACAATCCAATCGGATGGAAAAGCATGAAATTGGGTCAGGGACAAGGCACAAGGGATAGTTTTGTTTTCACACTTGGGGATGGAACTTCCCCTTACGATGCACGAATAGCACGAATAGCTGGTAATAATCGAGACAAGGAGATCGATGATTTGGTTTGGCTTGGGCCGAAGTTTGGTAAAGGTCCGGATCTATGGGTTCGGATGAATACAGACAAAAGTGGAGAAGCGCGTAAAGATACTTATGAAAGCAACGTTTTGGAAGTTGAGGGAAGATTTAGATGGATAGAATGCGAAATATTTTCTATAATGAAGAAATAAGCCGATTATGAAATCTCTTAAATTCTTAAATTAGAAAGTAGGCTAATTAATGATCCTATATTTGGAATAGTCCAATAAACATATTAAATAGACATAATAATTTAGATTTTTTTTTTTTGTTTATCAATAACTAAAATAGATTAATTTTTTTTTTTTCACCTTCAAAAATCCTTGTGATTTGACAAGAGAAAAAAAAAAATTGAAGTGAGTCATCAATTAATAATTATTCGTGAGAAAAATTAAAATCCAAAATAGTTAAATAAATTTGTTGAATCCCTTTTTTTTTTACATGTATATTTGTGGTCGGTTACCGTATGCATAAATGCATATTATCATGCTCAAAATGCATCAACCTTCTTCCGAAAAAAATTTCGATCAAATAAAGGTTTAGATTTAAAATTGCCAACCTACTTCCAAATTCAACGAGCTTCGCGTGTATTTGCATCCACAGGGGTAAATCGTTTCCGGTCATTGTTTTTCATGTATCTTGAAAAATACATGATCTTCAAAAAGGGTAAGTTGATCGCATCCCTTTATATTTTTGCATTAGCTGATCAGGGAGATTAAGTTTGTTTGACATACTTTTGTTTAGTTTCAATTAGGGTATTTTTTTTAATAAGAGAATAACGAAATCATGGGGTACTTTCTGCACATATTAACGAGAAATTTTTATTGAAATGATATTTTTCTAAAGTGGACGTCGGACGATATGGGAAAAGATCGTTCGTCAGCCAATTCTGTGAACTTCTCTAGTTGGGTTAGCTTAAAAGTTTTTTTTTTTTGGCTGAATACGCCGATTTTATGGTTGTTTGACACGGCACAACATAATTTTGGAACGTGGGTCTAGTACAAAAATGCTGACAACATCCTAATTACTAAAACGAGGATTTATTTATGCCAACCACTTTTTTGCCTTCAAATCTCAATTTTTTTTTTTTTTCGAGTTTAAACGTAAATAAGATTTTCTGTTGCAAAATCATGTACGTTTTTTTTTTTTTCATGAATATCTTAAAATTTTTAAAGTTTAGGTCGAAAATTGATATTAGGTTCAACATTTCAATACCCGGCATTAGATTTTTTTTGTGAAAATAATTTCCTAGCAAAGATATGAATCGTCTCAAAGGTCATAATCATAATCATAATGGCGGACAACAACTTTGGATAAAAATCGATCTTAGGGAAATTGTTTTTTTACCAAGTAGAGATACCATTCGAGGATATCAATGCAAACAAATTGAATTATTACTTAAATATACCATTAAAAACATATCGATTAATTTTAATGAAAGTCAAAAACTTAATGAAGTAAGGATTCCCATTGAACAAGTTGTTGGATTTAAAGTCATTCAAGATAAGTACATTGAAATTGAATTTCGCAAGGATTTCCATAGGACTGTAGGTCAATTTGATTTGATTTGAATTTTTTCCCTCACGTTTAAATTGATTGACTAATCGTGGGTACTCTCAGTATTTTGTTCATGATCTTAATCAAAATACGACGTGTTTGACCCGTAAGGATCCAACCGGTTGCATGGATGGTGTTACAAAGATCATTTTTACACCTTGTGAAAAAGTTCATTCCATGACAATTTTTATGTTTGAAGTTGGAGTGAAGTGGATGCGTGGTCCAACTGTAGGTATCATATGTTATTGTTATTCTCATTTGGTAACACGTGTCTTTATGGTCATTATTTATTAGGTGGTAAAAGATAAAGATAAAACTAATGAAACTAATGAAACTGATGAAACTAAAAAAGTCGATAAGGTAAATGACTTTAATCGATTACATTCAATTCTTTATGTCTTAACTTTGATCTCTCATTAAATCACAAAAATCAGGATCTGATAACCATTATTCCACCATCAAATAATACACCCGAGGTAATGACTTTTTTATTATCGTAAAAAAAAGATCTTTATCAAAATCAAACATTTCATCTATAATAAAATCCTTTAAATTATTTTAGTATAATATTTCATGTTACTTTTTGAATTTAAAGAGGGTAATTTCTTTACAAATGGAAGAATCCTTTTCGGGTTTATTGAAATTAATTAATAAAAAAATGGGTTTGGAAATAACTTCTATTAAATACAAGAATATCGATGGTAATATCATTACGGTTAAAGACGAGGATGATTGGGATGCCGCCAAATTGAATTTTAAGTGGCAAGATTTTTCAAATTACGATATTTACGTGGATTAAATTAGGAGATTATAATGATTTCTTAAAAATATTCGAAAAAAAAGATACTGTTGGTTGATTACGTGAAAATTTTAATCTTTTGGTTTTTGGTGATTCAATTAGGATTAAATTTTATTTTTATTTATTTTTTTTTTTTTAACATTTGAGGTGATACGAGAATTATTTTGTTTATTTTTTTTCAAAACAAAAAAAAATTGTTATTTTTTAATACTTGGTTCCAAATCTTAAAAAGATAGGTTTCGTAACATAAATTTTCATGACACTCTTGTTGATTTATATTTATCATGAAAGATTACATCGTGTTTTAGAATAATCAAAGAGAAATTTATCGTTGAGATAATTTTTTGAAATATTGCCTTGAATGAATTTGAATTAGAGTATTTTATTTTAAATAGTTTTGCCTTTCTTTTTTCTTGATCATTTAGAAATTACATATCATAATATTAATCCGCTCAAATCCAAACCTTTGTTTAACATACCCCCCCCATTGGACAAATAAAGGATGGTTGAACAACACATTTTATCAATTTGATTGGTTAAAATTAATCATGTGATTTACCATCAGATCATGAAAATTGGCCATTAGATCAGCCGTGTTTTACCAATAGATCGGTCGCGACTTTTTATTAACATATAAATGAGTTTCCTCAATGTTTTATCTAAAATCCTATTGTAAAGGTGTTGCTTACAGACTGTTACCAGTTTCACAACATATTTAATATAGCAACAAATAACCAGTTCGAAAATTTAGAAGGTATTTAAGAAAGCCTTCAGAAAAGTAGGTTTATATAAGGAAGGATTGTAGGGTGATATATTTATGTTATTTAAACTTAATTTTACATATATTAAGTTCATTTTTGAAGCAACTGAAATCATAGTTTAAGAAAGATCAAATGCGTTTGATTTAATTATAAATATTTCATAATGTATTTGTCTTCTAAAATAAAAAAAGAAGATGCTCGTAAGGATTTACTTTATAATAATATCATTAAATTATTTCGAAGTAAAATGGTTAAATAGAAAAATAGAATACAAAATACTTTTGGAAAGAGTTTTGTTGAATGTCTAACAGTAGCATTGTGATATATAGATTCATATCGTATAATATTTACAGAATGATCACTTCTACTTGAAGAATTATTCAATGAATTAGATTAATATCAAAAAAACCAAAATTATAATCTTATTTTTTTACTAAAAAACATACTAAATACAATCTTTAGCGTGACAAACTTGAAAAAAACTAGCTTTTTCATTAGAATTATTAGTAGCATAGCTAGTGAAAGTTGGGAAAATATTATTGAAGAAGTTTTTATTTTAACAACTTCAATGCAAAAATATACAAACAACTTAGAACAAATTAACAAATCTATAAAATAAATACATTTGAGTATTACACTAGCACATCAGTCAACTAATGATCTGAAGATATATATAATAGATTCCTGTTAAAAAATTTATACATAATACCAATAACTTTAAGATCATCTATCAAATATAGCTAATTATATCAAAATTAATTTAGATAGCTTTTTACCTGAAGATGCAATACAACAGTATTATTATATTAAGGATCTTCAGATATAGAATCCTGTTACTTTATATAGGTATTATCATGGCAATTATCTTGATACACTTAACTATATTTAAAAAGTTCTAAATAATCTTAAAAATGGTCAGAAACTATAAAAGCATATGTTCTAGCAACTATACAAGAAAAATTACCATAATATTTTACTCAATAAATGTGAAAAAATGCATTAGAAAAGGTTAATATTATTGTATTTTACTTGAAAAAATATTTTGAATTAATTTACTAATAGTTGCTTATAATTCTAATAGTATTCATTAGTTAAAAATGTTACACCTGCTATTTGCATATTTTATATTATGATTTAAATAGCAATGCTAATGTAATATCACATGATATTTATAAAAATCTAGAAGAATTGCTTTAACCTTATATTAACAATAGAAAATCTATCAATTATATGTGATTTACATTAAAATAATAGATTTAAAGGAATAAAATTCAATAATTTTTGGGATGAGATGGAAGTTTATTTTAATGAAGTAAATTATTTTCTTAATTACTTTATTTTATATATAAAGTATTATTATTTAATTTATTTTTATATTTTAAAAAATTCACCAGCAGTTAATGATTGGTAATATAAAAATATTCTATATATGCCACTTGTTATTTTAATATATGATCTTTATGAGATAATTATTAAATAGTTATATAAAAAACTTATATCTGAAACTGTTTCAATTCCAAGTGAAGAATAGATACTTTTGTAGTTTTAACCAACAAATTCAACAACAGAAAGTGCTAAATAATATACTAGATATTTTAATATTAAATTTATGGTTTAAATAAGATAACTTTATAAAGATCATTCAGATATACATTATTATGCTACTTTTTGATTTCTATGAGAATTTGCAATTTTGTATCGATAATATGCTTTATTTATATATGCGGATGATAAACATAAAGTTTCTATTAGAGAAGATATCAATACTTCTACTGGAGTTTACAATAGAAAAACTATGGTTTTTAAGAAACTTTTTTAGTTACATATGATCATGATTTCACGAAGTTATCTTTAATACCTTCTGTAATATTCTTTTATAATATTTCCCAATCTATTGAAAATTCTTTTTATAGTAAAAAAGTATTTTTTTATTTAAAGATACAGTATTTTAACCTAATAGTGCTATTAGATATTCTACTGAATTTTATAATGCAATTTCTACTCATTACCTTAACAATATTTCCCTTATTCTATGCTTTATACTGATGGTGGTCCAGATCATCACATAATATTTGACTCAATTCAAATTTTTCTTATTTGTCTTTTTTTACGTAAAGCATATAGTATCTCATTATAATTAGAATAATTTTGTGAAAAGATATTTTATGGAAGTTCATCAAATCAAGTATTAGCAAATATTTTAAAAATATAAGAATAGGAAGTTAAATTTTATAATTAATAGCAGTATACTTACATTGTACTTTGTGATAATAATGATAATATTAAAGCAGATAAAGAAAATCCTATTGCATTGATCATATCAACTTCTGGAATAATTAAAAAATCAAGATATAAATGTGGTCAATTAATAGTAGAATGTAAGCAACAAAAAAAAATTGATTTTAATAGTAATTTTACTCAAGCAGGTCATGTTTATTTTTATTTTTATAATAGCCAGACAATGATTCAATAAAAGTAATAATTACAATACATCAGCATTAAATTAAGTACAAAACGATTAATTACTTTTGATTTTAATGTGAATCTTTTGGATTTTTGATAATTTAAGGGTCTGTTATGGTAATTATAAAAAAGAGTTTGATTTTCATATTGTAAGATTTCAATAATTACTGATGATTGAAATTTTTTTTCCATCACCTTTCATTGTTTTATGAAAAAATAAAATACTTGTTCATGATTTTTTTCTTAATAAAGAAAATGCCTTTAATCTTCATTCTTGAAGAATTTTTATAAATTCAGAAATATGATAAACTAATATATAGATATAAGGTATTATATAATTAGGTTTATATAAGTCTTTGAATATTTGGATTACCTTCAGAAGGTGTCAAAAATAAAGTAAGCCAAATTTTCACATCATTTTTAAAATTTTTAGTTTTTGTTATTGAATTTTTTATTTTTAGGTAAAGCTTATAAAATTTATTTTACAAATCTTGTATTATATTAGCATGATTTCTTGAAAAAATTTTTATTAAATCAAAAAATTGTAATACATAAGTTTGTCATTTTCCATTAGTGAAATATAATTCCAAGTTTTAGAATCTTGATTTAGCCAAAAATAAAAATTAACTTTAACTTTTTTTATTTCCTCTATAATTATTATTCATGTAATATCATTAAACAAATCATATTTCATTAATTCTGCTATTATAAGACTTCATAATTAATCAATAATTTGAAGCATCACATGCAATTTATCAGGAATTTAATGATTAAAAGATATCATATTAAAAAGTGGTTTTCGCAAATAGCTTTTATAATAATTACATTGTTTAACTAATTTATTTATTTCTTTACTAATTTTCTATTCTTTTGATAGGTCACCTTGTGATTTATCAATCGTGTACTAAAGACAAAAAATTTTGCTATAAGCACCATTATATTTCAAACAAATAGCTAAAAATTTTGAATCTGATGAAAAATAAAGTTAAAATTCCATTTTATATTATTAATAACTAATCCTTAATCTTTTAAATTTCTTAAATCATGAAATAATAGAGCTATTACATTTAATAAAGAATTATAATCTTCATATCTAGGGTAAAGTATAATTATATAATGATAGTTTGGTTAGTGTAAAATACTTTTATCATCTAAAATAGCTATTATAATCATCACATGTTTGATTTTTCTTCTGATATTTCATTCATCTTCAAAAATTTGAAGATGAATTATTTAGCTGACATGGATTCAAAATTTGATTTTTAACAAGATCAGAAACTAAATATTGTAAAATATTTATAACACTTCTATAACTACCTTTATCAATTATATTAACTACTTCTTATACTATAGATTCATTGTCTATATTTGCTACTTCAGATTGATCTACTTGATTTTAAGTATTTATATTAACTATTAATATTGGTATAAGTTGAGACATTTTTTCATTTATATTTTGATACTCTTTAGATATTGCTTTTTCATGAGATAAGTAAGGCTCTATAGCACATAAATGTTAATAAGAATCTCTTAAAATGTTTTCTTTATCTAATATCCTAACCATTAATTTTTTTTTTACTTTTTTCTAGCTTTATTTTCATTTTCATAATTAATATCAAAAATATAGATTTTAACAGAATAACATATACTTTCTAATACTGATACATCTTCTGAATTGTAGAGTTTTGGTGCTTTTTTATTAAATTCAAATAACATATATTTTCCAATATTTGTTGCTTATTTTGTAATTATAGAATTACCACATTGATTAATTTA